ATGGCCTTCTCTTTCCTGATGGGCAAAGGACAGAAAGCACTGGAAGAGGCAAAACATAAAATATTTGAAAGGGAAATCACAATAATCCAAGTGTGGTCATTATAACGTGCATCAGAAAGAAGCCTGAAGGAAGAAGGGCAGTTCATCTGTCTGAAGGCCCGGACCCAGAAAAACCATAACACAAGGACAGAAAGAAAGAACAGAGAAATCTTGAGAGGAGCACTGATGCCGTAAGCCTCCTCAGTCAGCATCGACAGGAACAGGCTCCCCATGAACCACCTCCACTCTTGCCAGTCCTTGAAATTTTCAGCAGTGTATCTTATTCAGATTCTTGCAGTGTCATCCTGAACTGAACAAAGTGTGAGTCCAGGGGCACCTTTAAGACCAGCAAAGTTTTATTCAAAGTATAAACTTTCATGTGCATGCACACTTCTTCAGATATCTGTCCGTGAACACAAAAGCTCATATCTTGAGTAAAACACTGTTGGCCTTAGAGGTGCCACTGGACTCAGACTTTGTTCTGCTGCTTCAAACCAACACAGCTACCCACTTGAATCTATCCTGAACTGAGTTGCGCCCTTTTAAGTCCACTGACTTCAAAGGAGTTACACAGACATAACTCTACTTAGGATGGTACTTACTACTTAGGGGGCAAGCTTCAGTGAACAGACCTGAGTGAATTTCTGAGTAGGCCTGCCTAGGTCTGCTGCCAGTCACTTGCTGTCTTAAAAGATACCCATCTGTCACTCCAGAGGTCAGTTGCCTTCCTCCAGTGAAGAACAAAGAACTCCCCCCACCCCCAATCTCTGCAAATTCTATCCCCAACCAAAAAGAAATCCTTTTGCTTTGATTTCCATGGGAGTCCGTTCCTTCCACCTGGTGGAAAACTGTTGCCTCTGGGGAGCAGCTGGGGCTCAGTGGTGGAGAGTCTGCTTTGCACGGAGAGGGCCCCAGGCACATCCCCAGTTAAAAGGAGGCAATGATGTCAAAGACCCAAGACCCAGTCAGAGCAGAGAATACTGACCTTAACAGATAGATGGCCTGACTTGGTATAACAAAGGCAAATAAGGTCACAGTCCGTAGACATGAAAAGATAGAGCCACAGGAACTGTGTAAAGTGCGCTCAGTGTTTCTTTAACGATAGCGATAATGTTATAAATATGAAAATTACAAAAGTGATACTAATATATTCAAATTGTAAATCCAGTTACATAAGATAGAAGATAACAACGACAGCAGGACGGTGGTCTCCGGAATGCAATGCCATTTTGACAAATGTCTTCTTCTGACCAAGAATCTATAAGTAGATGATGTGTGGAAAATTGCACTTCAATAGAAAAGCTACCCGATTCACATGGAGTTCAATCACAGTTTCACCTATTTCATTGCACAAGTAATGGAGAAAATTTCTCTCAGACGAAATAAAGCTTATGCGTCCCGCCGTCGTTGTTATCTTCTATCTTATGTAACTGGATTTACAATTTGAATGTATTAGTATCACTTTTGTAATTTTCATATTTATAACATTATTGCTATCGTTAAAGAAACACTGAGCGCACTTTACACAGTTCCTGTGGCTCTATCTTTTCCTGACTTGGTATAAGGCAGGTTCGTGTATTCCAGATGATACAAGTTGGACACACCTTACTTGACTGGTACAGAAAAGGGTTATTTTACTTTGTTGGCTGATTCTTGTTAGCATATTTGTTGTAATTTCCCCAGCCAACTGAAAGGTTATTAATTTGGCACCTTCATTCTCCAAGGCTGGCACACATGATTTTTCACATCTCTATTTTTATTTTCACAACAACCCTGTGAGGTAGCTTAGGCTGAGGGAGAATGACTGGACTGGAGTCTCTCAGTGAGCTTCATGGTCAGTGGGGATCTGAACCGGGGTCTCCCAGATGCTAGAGAGACCAACACTCTCTCTCTACTGTGCCACACTGGGTCTGTAGAGCTAACTAGAGAAGCTTGTGCTGCAGCCCTTACCCTATATGGGAAGGGTGTTTTGAAAGTAGCCTCTGAACCTTGGCAGAGTGCAAATTAAACATTTCTTTTCCCAAAGTTGTATATCTTGCACAAGTTACCCTCGGGGTGAGCTGTCATTTCATCAATAAAACATATTTGTTTTTAAAAACCCACATAAATCTAGGAAAGCATTTCCATCTCAGCTGTTCAAACAGAAACTTGGGGTTAATACCTAGGATTCAGATCAGGTCTTCTAGGATGTGGGTTCAATAAACAAATAAAAGGCTCATTGCTGAACTGATCAGATAGTACAGAACAGAATGGACCATAAAAGGCAAAGTAGCTGAAAGCCATTCAGACCCAATCAGCTCAGAAGATCAGAGAGAACCTGTGCAGTGCAACCATAAAACCTGCCCACTTGCTGGGATCTGGTCATTTTTTCCCCTGCAGGCCAGAGGAATTTCTGCCCTTCCTTGAGCAGAGAAGGGACTAATAAAGCATTACTGCAAGCATTGTACAGGAGCAGATAAAGCAAGAACATGCAGCACTTGCCATAGTCGTTGCCCGCTTCACAGAGTGAGTTTCAAAGAGAAAATCTGCGGTGAGATGCCTAAGCAGCACCTGCAGGGAGGCAGACTCTTCAAGTGTGAAGCAGACTGTATGTGTATGCACGTGTGCACAGTTTAAAACAAACATGGCACAAAGCATGTTTTGTTCTGGCCAGCTTCCAGTATGGGAAGTCAGCCTACACTGACTGAAAAAGGCGCTGGTTAGTTGCCTTCCCCATGTGTTCCAGTTTTGTAAAAATCCAGACACCCCCTCCCCTCAAGAATCCTGCCCCCCCAGCCCTTACACGGAAGTGCCTTCCCTTGGCCTCAGGCAGGGAGGGGCAGGTAGCACCCTAATCCACCTCCCCTCCCCTAGCCCTGCTCCCTTCTCAGCTGGGAGCCAGAGCTGGTCTGTCCTACTTGGCCTTCTCTCTCCAGCCCTTTGAAGACCCTAGCCAGCTTCTACCCAGAAGCCCCCTGGGGGTGTGGCAGAGTCTGGGAGGGACCAATAGCACTTCCCCACCCGGAGGGTGGAGTTCCCCCACAGCTCTTGGTCAGACTGCTGACTATCCCCCCCCCCCACACCACTTCCACACAGCATTGTGGTGCATCCATGCACTTTGTGGCCTTTTCTCTGCTTTGCTGTGATCTTTTGGGAAAGATTGCCCCAAATCCAGGTGGCTGCCATGCTCTTTGTCAGTTCCACCCAGACCAACACCATCTCCCCTGCCTCAGCCTCCAGGACTGCCATTTGCCCCCTCATGGCCAAGAGCTCTTTTTTCTTTTCTTTAAAATCAGATATAGCTAAATCACTGTAGTGTTGTAACATTATAATGGCCCCGGTCACATGGCAAATTTGCCCCGCGAGAGGGACGGCTTGCCTGCAGATCAAAGATGTGCGATCATACCTGAATATCTGGGAAACGTCACACTCCCGTCTCTAACCCACAGCTTCGGCCCAAAGGCGCGGATTTAAAAGCTACCGGGAACCATGTACTGGTTTCCTGATAATGTACGACGCGTGCGGGCGTCTGATCAGGAAGTGGTGGTAGCCCGTCACTGGACAAAGAACTTCCTCAAGGCCCAACTAGATGTGACAGTAGGGCTGCCAGCCTACAGGTGGGGCCTGGAGATCTCCTGCTTATACATCTGATCTCCAAACTGGTTCAGTTCCCCTGGAGAAAAACGGCTGCTTTGGAGGGTGGACTCTATGGCACTGGACCATGCTGAGCTCCCTCCCCTCCCCAAACCCTGCCCTCTCCAGGGTCCAAATCCCCCAAATTTCCAGGTGTTTCTAGGGCTGCCAGGTCCCCCTGGCCACTGGCAGAGGATGGGGGAAGAGGGTTGCCAGATCCAAGCTGGGAACTGCTGGCGATTGGGGGGGGGGGAGGACAGGGACCTCAGTGGGGTACAATGCCATAGAGTCCATCCTCCAAAGCATCCACTTTCTCCAGCCGAACTGATCTCTGTAGTCTGGAGAGGAACTGCGATTCCGGGGGATCTCCAGGCCCCATCTGGAGGCTGGCATCCCTGGTTCCCAACCCAGAGCTGGCTGCCCTCTGTGAATGTATCCCCATGGGGGCCCTCATGGCATTGTTAAATGACTTTAAAAAGGTCATAGGTAGGTATTGATGCCGTCATGTCCAGTTTGGCCCACAGGGTGGTGCAGCCACTTGCCAACAGTTCTTGCTGAAGAAACAGAGTGCCCCATCGTATCATCAAAGAGTGGTCCAGAATCTGCTGAGCCATGATGCCCTCATTCTATGGTGCCTTTCTATTTTGCAGGAAAATGGAGGAACTTCTCAGGATCCCGCAGATGGCAAGGCCAAGCCATGCTCCTTTTGGTGCACTGGGGCACACACTGTTGTGGGTACTGGTCCTGCTGAGGCTGACTACTCCTCAGATGAGCAAGAGGCAGGGAGCAGCCCAGTCTCCTCTGGAGCCAGCCCAGAAGAAGAACCCTCAACAGTACCTGAGGAGGAAGAGTCCCCAGCAGCTGCACAGGAGGTGCAGCCAGAAGGAGAGGCTGATCCTGAGCCTGGCCCAGCACCCCCAGTTGCAGACACCCCAAGGCCAGACTCCCCACCTAGTTCTCCTGAGTGCCCCAGACGTAGGGAACACCAGAGGCTGACTATGCAGGAGCGAAGGAGGAGTGCCAGACTCCAGCTCCTGCAGAGGCAACGGGAGGAACTGTAAGCCTTTGCAGACTCAACTCTGAGGGAAGGGAGGACCTGTTCAAAAACACTCTGTGCACCTGCTTCAGCGTGGCAGGTGTGTAGCAGCTGCTCCTTGTCCTTGAAACCTGCAACCTTGAATTGACTTCCGGTATCCGATCTCTGGCTTTGTTGCTTACCTTGATTCCGGACCATGTTTCCAGCTTCCAGTGTGTAGTCTCTGATGCAATCAGCCAAGACAGCACACACAGAGTGCTCTTTATTTATGCATTTATTCAGTTTATTTAAATGTTTGTATTTCATTCTCCCAGGCTGAAGTTTCTCAGGGCAAATTCCCATGACACAATAAAACACAAGAACGTAATAAATACTAAGGCTGCACTGAAACCCACAGCACAAACCTACCCAAATCCATGGATACATGCCAAAACATAAACTATCCTGCAACCATAGGAAAGCACATAGAGCAAAGCGACCCCCTCTAACCCAGGCAAGAGAGCTTTAGAAAGTACATATGCAAAAGTGGCATCATTTCAGATGCAGTCAGTGCCATAAGATGGGTTCACGAAAGTGCCGGCTCACTGGGCAGTTGGGTGCAGGATATCAATTTGCAATTCATGTCCACATTTGGTTCTCCCAACCCAGTTCCTGTCAGAGTGAGTAACAATTACAACAACAACAACAACAACAACAAATCCCCAAATGGCACAGTGAAAAATAATTATATAAACATTGTTTAAATTATAAAACTAAGGACAGCACAATAAGACTGTTTTAAAAGAAACTGATCCCAGGATTCCCACCCACTCTTCTCAAACTGTCGCTGTGCCCCTTGCCAAGGGTAGGCCTCATGCTTTACAACTGAGACTCCTATAAGCACAGAGGTGTCCCTGAAACATTCGTTGCTCTCAGGCCATGCTTTCCACATCTGCCCCCCCCCCCATGTTGAAAACACAGCCAAGGATAATCTACAAGAGACAACTATAGTTATCCGATTGCTTGGGATGGTATTCCTGACCCCTTGCCAGATTTGTGGAACAGAATTCCTGATCGCTTTGGAATAGCTGCCAAGTACCCCTCAGCCAGTACCAGTTCCCTGGGTTATTTATTGTGGAAATAAAAGTCAGTGATGGCAGTTTCTCCCAGGTGATTGGTGAGTGTGAGGGGCTTGTGGGCCTCAACTGGGGAGGAAAGGTACCATCCAGGGTGGACGGCTGATTCAAACATGTGGGTGGTGCCGTTGTAAGACTTGAAGAAGGTAAACCGTTTGGCCTCCTTGTCATTGATAAAAACATCCATGAGGTTTGTGTCCTGTAAGAAAACCAAGCGAAAAATGACCACTTGCAAATCAGTGGCTTTTATGGTAGCACCCACTACCTGCTCTCGAAATTCTAAAAGTCCCCACAAGTTCAACAAGGCGAAGGACCCCTGGGCTCTAGGGAAGAGATGGCGCACAGGTTATCAGCATGAGGGGCATGTAATTTGGACAGCATTATGACCATCTGTGGGAAGTTAGTTTGATCAGCTCTCTTGATGGACATGGCTCTTGCACTTGGGCTGCTGGTTATGGTGAGAAGGACCTGGGAGGCTGATAACAAGGCGTCCCCCAAGCTCACCTCCAGTTGCAGTTTGGGCTCTTCCTCTTTACCACACGAGATGCCCTGGCTGCCCCCTTTGACCCCCAGGATCAGAGGGATCTTCTGGCGATCCAGGAACCTATTGGGAAGCACACTGAGGGTCTCTGCGGAAAGGAACAGAAAAGAAAGGTTTCAGAGGGTAGCCATGTCCAGTAGCACCTGAGAGACCAACAAGAATGTCAGGGTATAAGCTTTCAAGTCCCAAAGCTCCCTTCCTCAGACACAGTCTGACAAAAGGGAAATTGTTATACCTTTATATTCCATTCCAGAGACCAATGCAGATGGTCCTCTTTTTTTATAGCAGAAAATGCCAGCCATTCAGAGGTCTCCCCCCTGGGAAGTGCTCTCATAGTGGGAAATCACATTTTCCCTCCGATGAGCAACTTTTTTGTTGTTGTTGACTGGAAAATGCAACGAGCTCTCTCCAAGAGCACTTTTATGGGGATGAGAAATGCTGTGTGGGCTGAAGTTACACAAATGTCACATGTACCTATTGGATGGTGTCCACAACATCTTTAGGAAAGGCAAAACACCTCTCCCTCCCCACCAAATCTCATTGTTTTGTGTACCTTTGAAAAGTTCCATTTATCTTGAATGACTTGTTTAATCTGTAGAGGCCGAGAGATCTTGGTGATAGCCGGTCAGGAGCAGGAGTGCTCATCTAGGCCCTCAGGGGGAGAGGAGCCACAAATTCCAGCAAAGCTGTCTCCACCCCCAACCGTGCAGGAACCCCTACCCCTTTTTCTGGGTCAAGGCAAGATGGCCTGCTCCCTCCTACAGCTCCCCATTTATTGCATTGTCAATTTCACCTCTAGGCTTGTTGAAATTGACAAAGTTCCATGGAAGGCACTATGGGCATCCATGGTCTGAGGTCCAAACTAGACATTACTGTTTGTAATGAGTTGGGTTTAAGTTCCCCCAACCTCAGTCTCTTTCCTCACAGCCATGTAGCAGCTGCTGCTGAGAGCTACGTTTTCATGCCCAATTCAATACCTGCCAAATAATGCCTTCAGGTTGGAAAAACAGCATGGGAGGGGGAGGCTGGAGCCCCTTCCCCTCTGTGCTAGGGTCCTGATCTGAATCAGGCCCCTGTGGCCCTGAAAAAACTGCCCCTGCCATCTGGTTGCGAGGGAACCAACCTGGATCACGGCCTGAGGGACATGAGTTTGGAGTTCAGCAAAGGTCATTTCGGGGGGGATCGCGGGGGATCGCAGTTCCCCCGGGTGAGGTACGGTGGGGCGGGGCACATGACGAAGCCTCGCCCCCTGCTTCCAGCCGCCCCGCTTCCGGCCCTCATTCAGCCAGGAGGAGGCAGGAGAAGAGAGAGGGTAAGTTGCTTCCTCCCTGCCTCTCCCCACCCCTGCCTGCCTGGGGCCAGGGAGGACCTTCGCGGGGCTTCCTTGCACTCCCGCCGGCCTTGCAGGTCCACCGCCGGGCCCCTCATGGGGCTCGGCAGTGGAGCTGCAAGGCTGGCGGCGGCGGCCGGGACCATTGGGGGCGGGGAGTGTGGCCTTATGACACACTTCCGGTGATGTCAGGGGGTGTGGCATATGCTAATGAGTTATGCTAATGCGTTCCCCTAGCTCTTTTTCTACGAAACGACCCCTGGAGTTCACTCTTATAGGGCTGCCTTGCTGCACCTTTTTATTATTATACAGATTGTTTCAAACATTCTCTCCTTGTAACCTCCCCTTGTTTGGCAGAGGTGGTGGCCCAGCTTCTTAATGGGAAACTTGATCTCTCCCATTCAGGCCTATTACATTGTGCTGTTCCAGAAGAGGCAAGAAACTGCCGATTGCCCTAAAATAGCTTTTTATGAATGTTTGATGTTGATTAATAAATATGATACGCAGAGTTTCAGGAATGAATGGAATAAGGACCTAGATTGCCCTGTTTTGCCAAAGCAATGGGATATGGCCTTAAAATTTATTCGTGGTCTTTCTATGGATCTTAAACTGTGACGCATTCTGCAAAAAAAATAACGTTTACTGGACATGACAGCAACTCTTTACCGAAGGACTGAGTAAAGTTTCTAACTGTTGGCATTGTAACTCACAGGACATCAGTCTTAAACACATGCTTTGGGCATGTCCAGCCATTCGGTCTTTCTGGGAGAAAGTTACTACACTTATCAATTTTGTATTAGAAGGTTCATTGATTTTTGAAGATGTTTATGAACTTTTAAACTATCTGCCTTTCTCTTGGAGGCTAATCAGTGGTCAGTGAAAATGCAGCTAAAAGACTCGCATAACAACACTGGAGAGATAAACACCCACCTCCAGTAGATCAATGGACTGAGGACCTTAGAATTCTATCAATATTTGAACATGTGGCATAGAGACTACAACTGCATATGAACTTATAGTTAGATATTTGGAAAACTTTTTATAGAAACTTATGAGTAGATCTGCCACCACCATTGTTATATCTTTGTCTCTATATAATTTTGTTTTATTTAGTGGCTGGATTTTGAGTTCTTTCTTCTGTGTTGTTTTTTTTTAAGCCCCTGGAGGGGATTTTTTATTATTTTTATAAATCTACAATACTACAGAAAATAATAGGGATGGGGTACTACATATATTGGGGAAAAGGAAAGAAACCAACTAATACCTAAAAACCCAAGAGAGGAGATCCTCAAACAAGCTTAGTTACAGTAAATCATAACTCGTTTAAGTCAATATGAATTGAGTCAAGTTTTTCACACCTTTTCACTTTTCTTTAACAAATTTAACTGCTTAGAAACCATACCCCCCATCATCACAATTTTACATCATTTACTTCAAGGCACATTTCAGAGTCCTTCAGCCTCTATTTCTCTTTTCCTCGTCTCTTCCTCAGTTTATAGGGACTTTTTGGAGCAGCAGTCCCTTGCTTCGCCAGAGAGTCTTCTCCAGAAGATTCCGTTTCCAATTCGCCACTCGAACTGTTGTCATTGTCTTTTCCTTCTTCCTCTCCCTTTCCCAGCTGAATCTTTAGGAATTCTTTGGCTTTAAAAACAGAGTCAATTTTTTCTTTTTTATCTTTCATCTTAAAAGCCACTCCTTCCGGAAATAACCATTTGTATCCAATTGAGTTTGTCTGAAGATAAGTCACCAGCTCTTTGTTCTTCTTTCTCTGTTGTCTTATGTCAAATGGAATATCCTTCAGCATTCTGATCTTGGTTTCCCCCATTTTCAGGAGTGTTCCAGAGACTGCTTTCAGGCTTGCATCCCTTATGTGCCTCTTCGAGAATCTCACCACAATCTCCCCAGGCAGATTATTCTTTTTTATATAGCCTGAATATGATCTATAGACCACATCCATTTAGTTTAATAACAGTTCCGCCGTCATTTCTGTCACTGAGGCCAGCAATCCACTCATTAGCTCCTTGAGACTCTCCCGGCTTTTCCAGCACACCCTGGAAGCGAAGGACCATATTTGCTTTATCCATTTGTACTTGCAGCCATTTATCTTCCGTTGAAGTTTGCTTTAATTCCAGCTTTTGGACTTTCTTCTTCACTTTTTCAGTTGTTGCAGCCACCTCCCTGATTTTTTCATTGTCTTGCTTCATTAGCTGTATCATGTCTTTCATCTGAGTCTGCTGTGCTGTTATCTGGGTTTGCTGCACTGTCAGGTTTTTGTTTACTTCTGAAATCTGTTCTTTGATGTTTTTCAACTGTTCCAGCAGAGGGCAAATATACTCTGCTACAGTTTTTGCCAGCTCATTCGTCACTTCCGCTTTCGGACTCTCCAGTCCTTTTGCTTTCGGAATCAGCTTGTCTTTGTCCCTCTTCCCCGCCATCTTTGCCGATTGTTTACTCTCCGCAGAAGTTTTTAAGTCTCTGAAAATGTGCTCCACCGCTTCTTTACCTTGGTGAGTAAATCTAAACCGTTTTTTCCGCGTCTCTGCTTGCTCCCCCCTTTTCGTTTAAAAGTTCACACGCATCGTTTAAAAGTTCACACTGTGTTACTAAACGATGGGAGGCGTCCCCCCCACTCATTCCGCAAAATGGGGTGGGGAGCATCTTTTCTTTTAAAATTCGTTTCTCAGTTGACTCACGTTCATAGTTGGTCATCCGACCCCTCTTCTTTCATCGTTTTAAGTGCTCGATCTCCTACGCTTGACCCGGTTAGCTTCACTAGTGCTTTTTCAGCCTCTCAGCATGAAGAACCACTGGAGCAGAGGGGAGCCTCGATTCTCTGGCATTCCGCCATCGAAGAGGCTGCCCCTCCAAAAGCTCCTTGGCCAGGATACCTTCACCGGTTCCGCGCTCCAGCCTGCTCGCCCCCTTCTTCGGCTGGAGCACAGCTACCCCCCTGGGAGGTCCGGGAGGAGCGTCTGCAGTCATGGAGCCATCAACCGGAAGTCAGTTCTTTCTTCTGTTGTTGTTTTTTAAAGAAAGGCGTTTTTAAAAATGCTCATTGTAAATGAAGATTCTCTTTCTGTGCCATATGATCTGTATGCCTGGATTTTAAACCAGTGGTCAGTCACTTGCCTTGAAAATAGAATATTGATAGGATTTTGATTGCCTTCATTATTGTGAATGGATATGGCTTTGCCCAATTATTTTTCAGGGTCTAGATCTCAGAGTTGTTTCTTCTGCAGGCAAAACTGAGGCAGAATATAGCCAAGTAAATAACTGCTTGCTGGTGGTCAGCACTGTATTTTGCCTAGATAGAGGGCAAACACTTATAAGGATTCATAGAGGATATTCATCTGACAGGATGTAGCTATATGTTGAACTGTTTACAGATCTGTTCTGGATCCACCTTAGGTCCAGTCAAGCAGACATGCAATGGGGGTTCTCAGCTGAAAATTCAGATTCTCATATGTGTGGGTCTCCAGTTTGGACCGGGACTGCAGCGCATTGGGAGAAAGGGCTTAAGCCTCCCCCCCCCATCCCATTTTCTCATCCTGAAATTGCTCAGAGAGCTACTATATGCCCTGCTGGGGAAACTTGAAACATAGCCATCAGTTCCTGTGTAGCCCATAACTACACTTAAGTTTACCCAGCAAGGCAGATATCAGCCCCCAAGGGTCACTTCAGGAAGGAAAAGGCTTGGTAAGGCTTAAACCGCCCTCTTCCTAAGTGCTGTAGTAGCATTCTGAATCGGGGCCCCATGCCCTTGAGTTTCAACAGGGAATTCCCAGTACATAAGGATGACGGGCAAACAAGGGGATCTCCAGAAACAATCAGTAAACTGAACCGGATGTGATAAAAGCGGCCTAGTGTTAGAACTGGACACCCTGGATGTGTGAGAGCAAAAGGTAAAAAGATCAGGAAAACTGCATTTAAATGATATTACCCATCACAGCTTGCAGAACATTGTCCAACCAGCTGAAGAGAGGTGGATGTGTCTTTGTTTGAGGGCCAAAAATACACATGATATGTGGCATAAGTTGGATGCTTGACTGGGCTTTCCGTCATACATTCACACGGGACTAACCTCAAGAACCCCTCTCCATGGCTCCACACAGCTCCAAACATTGTGAGGGGGAAGGAGGGGGCCCGGGCTTCCCTCCTGTGCTGTTGTGGACCTTGAGGAAGGGGTGAGCCGCATGCCCCTTGGCCATTTCCACTGGCAAAGATGGCATGGGAGGAAAGCCTGAAACCCCTTCTTTCCTCTTGCAATATTTGTAGGTGTGTGGAGCAACTGAGAGGTTTTTAAATGTTAGTCCCCATGACCATGTGACTGAGAGTCCGGTTGGGCACCTGTCACCCTACTCATGCCACATGTAGTTTGGCCCTGAGAAACAACAGCTGGCAGTTTGGGAAGAGGCAGAAAGGGACAACAAAAGCCAAAGCTGATCAAAAGTGAAGCCTCTCTGGAGTTCTGATATGGAATAATAACTTGGCTGCCTTGTAACTCCTGGCTTCCACCTGCTCTACTTGTTTAATTGGGAATAAAGCAACGATTACAAAACACTCTGACTTCTCCAGCACTCTTTCATCCAGAGGAAACTAAATCTGGTGGTGCTTCCCTGATGAAACTTGTCGTCGCATGGGGAACTAGGAAGCTTGTGAGTTGGGCATAGATAAGGTGAGACCCAGACTTGGCATCTGCTAAAGGCAGCAGAAGAGCCCTTGTTACCCCAGCAAAGAAATTTTAAGGCAACCAACCTTCTTGAGCAGAATTGTCACCTTGCAGGGGGGCTGCTACCAGGTTCTTGTCCTGTAGATAAATGCTCTTATGATCAATGTCTCGAAGGTAATAATTACGTGGTTCTATACCTCTGGGGACATCATCTGCAGATGCTATTGAAGGCTTTAAATGTGGTTTCATTGATGCTGGAATGCATGGAAAAGAGAACCCAAATAACTTGGTTACCACATAGGACATACAATCATGCAATCTCTAGTCAGCAGGGAGCCTCAGTGAACATCTGCTTCAATCACCAGCCATAAATGAGCTTCAGAAAATCACCAAGCGGGTAAAAATTACAGGCAGCCATTTTTGTCCACAGGGAAAAATCCAAAGGCAACTGCAAAGGACTAGCTACAGTGGTGCTGCCTGAGGCTTTCCCCCTCACCTCTTCTGCTCCATCTTAAGAGTATCATAGTCTTCAGGCTTGGACTTTCCATTGTGCCCGATATCTTTTCCTTTACTATCCCTGCTGAAAAGTATGCAGATGGAGAGTGATTTCAGCTAAGCATACCTTTATTTAGTCCAGAACAAAGACACTTGGCTGGCTCGCGGGCCGGCTTATATTCCTTCAGAAAACCCGCCACCAAACACACACCCCACTCCCGATAGGCTATTTACAGTAACCGAGAGACCTATTGGCTGGGGACCTAGCCCTTTCATTGGGCCTGGCTAGGATCCTACTGGCCCATTGTCTTTTGGCATGAAGCTAGTGGTGTTTGTGCCTGAGCCAGTCCGGGCATGTCCGGACATGTCAGGCTGGATACACTACGCCTGCTTTTTTTTTTTGGGTTTAGCATCCAGTCTGAAGGAGAGCCCTGGCAGAACTAGAAAGCTTGCTCACTATTTTGTGATGTTTTAATTGGTCCTAATGGAGGTATTCCCTACTGTGACCATTTGATTTGTCTATGGATTAATATAGCTGTCCACAATTTTGGTCAACTTCGGAGAACAATAAACAATAATAATAAATTCTGTACTGAATTAAGAGATCAAGGAGAGAGATCTTACAATGGAAGGAAACTGGCTTTCTGCTACCTTATTGTGGAATTTTGCTTACGGGAGAAATACCTTCCCACCATTAGAAAGAATGGCTCAGTTTGTGTTCCATTCTAATGTCCCACCCCAAAGTTTATCTGCCCTTTTGCGGTTATAAGACTGCAGTTTTTCTGTACTTCTGTCTGGTTTGTTCTGATTAAAGCTGGAGACAGATCCAAAATATTGCTGGTTTTTATATTACCAAAGGAAGGGCTGCCATTACATCTTTGAATCAGTAGCTTTTGGTGCAACCTGAGGGTTTTTTTCAAACCTGGCACTGTCTGTCTGAATGAAGCCTGCATCTTACCTCCTCTCCTCTAACCTTAAAAAGTTCTAATGAACGCAAAAATACTTGCTTACTATTTTGTATTACTTGGTCCTAATGAAGGTTAGAGGCCAAGGAGCTCGACAACATCTCTGTGTTACTAAACGGTTAGGAAATTCCTTCTTGAGTTCCATCTAAACCTACCTCATTAATGTCATAGTACTTTAGCCCAATGGCTTTCCATCCAGCCCTCAGTGGTTAGATGGATCAAAGCCGTCTGCCTCCTTCTAATGCCCTTTTACGTATTTATCTTCCTTCTATTGCCCTTGAGCGTGCACCAGAGAATGCAGGGCCAATACCTGAATCAAATAACTCAGCAAACCAGTCCAGCATATCTTGGTCCACCACAGTTTCGTTGGCAGCTGGCAGCTTTAGTATTTCTTCGGAAGCCATTGTGAGTAGATGATTCTTGATCTGTGGCTTGTGAGCGGTGTTCTGTGTGGAAAGAGAATTGGTGTCCCTGAATAGATGTGTTTCCTGCCTTCGGAGCCAAGAAATCCCTTTCCCCTTTAGAGCCCAAGCTACATTCAGCATCACGCTTGAATTAACTACTAAGTAGGATCTAAACACAAAAGCCACGACACCTTTTACTGGGACCTACTCAAATAACACACAACAGTGTGCAAGCTTTTGAGTGCTCCCAAACTCTTCATCAGGCTGGATGTTAATGTATGTGTCAGGCCATGATCTTCAGGGTCTTATGTAAGCAGGGGTAGTCTTAGCCAAAGGGCATCAGAGGCAGCTGCCCCTGGCCCCATGCTAGAGGGTCCTGACCATCCAAGGCCCTGCATACACACCTCCAAGTGGGGGGAGAAGAAAAAAGGCAGGCTTCCACTGCTGACACTTGCATACGTCCTGCCTGGGGGGGTTGGCAGCCAGCCTCCAGAGATGGCTCCCACCCACCTCATATAGAGGCAAGGAGAACCTGTTGCTTGGCCCCAGCAGGGGGAGCTGGCGGTGGGGCTAGAAGGGGTGGCAGTGATTCTGGGATGTCATCCTGGTCTTTTGCCCAGGGCCCCAGAGTCATTAAGACCACCCCCCAGAGATATGTCGAGATGGGTAGCCATGTTAGTCTGTCTGTAGCAGTAGAAAAGAGCAAGAGTCCAATAACACTTTAAAGATGAACAGAATATATGGCAGGGGATGAGCTTTCGTGAGTCACTTCAGAAGTATCTGAAGAAGTGAGCAGTGACTCACGAAAGCTCATCCCCTGCCACATATTTTGTTCATCTTTAAGGTGCTACTGGACTCTTGCTCTTTTCTAAGACCACCCCATTTGTAAGCACCCTGTATGGAATGCCTAGTAGGTATGCAGAGATTGAATGACCTCAGTGCCTAGCCTCTTCAGAAGGCCAAAGGGGTTCTGAGAAGAGGCAAGACATGGTCTTATCTGTTCCCCCCCCCTTCCCTGTTTTAAAGATGCAACTTGATTAAAAGTTCTGGAGAGCTCAAAAGCTTGTGCACTGTTTTGTGATATCTTCATTGGTCCTTCTGTAAGGTACGACATGTGTTTTTTTTTTTTGATTTTGTTTTTGGGGGACCAACGTAGCTACCTGCAACTTCTGTTTCACAGGCTGTGAAAGCAGACACAATGGCTGCGATGTGGTAGCCTTTGCCGAAATAAAGCTGTTCTTATTTAAGATGCTAGAAGATTCTTTGTTTGTTTTGCATATACCAATAATGCCTAGGCACCAGTGGGAAATGGGTGCTGAGGATTTGCACTACTATGGTTTAAAACCAGGAAGTTGGTTCTGTGTCAGGTTTCCAATCTTCTCTGGCCCTCAAGGGCCCTCCAAACATAGCCTGCTCACAAAGGGGGCCAATTCGTGTGACACGCACACTCCTAAGGAGCAGTGAAACCTGGGTGTGGATTTCTCACTGTCTTTCTGCATGCTGAGAAACTGAACAGAGGACTATCTTCCCTTATGACTACACACAGGTTTCACATTAATTATTCTAATACAGAGAGCCCTTACTGGCTGCTCAGAAAGCAGCTACACATGCCCTGCCCTGCAGCTGTTAAGGCTGCTGTTTCCCAAGGGCCAACCCTTTCATTCCCTGGCAAGGGAGAAGAATGAATGTGGCAGACCTTGGCTTTGCTTCTGGGCATCGTGAGCATCAGGGATTGTCTGCAAACTGCCTGTGGATGAGAGACAGAAAGTGACAGGACAAGATTCGTTCGGAAAAACATAAAGAATGAATATATCACAGAGCAAGCCCCTTGCTGGCAAAAGAACGCCAACTGCTGCCAACAATTTCAGGTTGCCAACCTCCAGGTGGTGGCTGGAGATCTCCCACTATTACAACTGATCTTCAGGCCACAGAAATCAGTTCACCTGGAGAAAATGGTCCCTCTGGAAGGTGAACTGAACTCTATGGCATTATACCCCATTGAAGTCCCTCCCCTCCCCAAACCCTGCTCTTCTCAGGCTCCACCCCCAAAACCTCCAAGTATTTCCCAGCCCGGATCTGGCAACTTGACTTAATTGCATGCATAAGCCTCAGGGCCACGCATTTCTGTTAGATTCCCTGGTTTGGTATAGCCAGGAACCATCAGCAAGTTAGCAGAGTGTACAAGGCCTACCACGTATGATGGGGAAATTATTTGATTTTATTTACAAAATGAGTAGTCCTCATTTTGGAAGGATCTTTCCCGAAGAATAGCAATCTACATCAAAGGGATCACATCAGAGAGAGAAAAGGAAAGGATGGTCAGCGTTCTGAGCCCATCTATCTCTCTGACTCTACTGTAGCCCCCTCTGAATGCTGAGGCTGAGAGACAGCATACAGTCCTCATCTTCCAACAATTTTAGACACCAGAGTGACCTGCAAGAATTCTAGGCTTTCCAGTCTCCAGGTGGTCTCCTGGAGATCTCCTGGAATCACAACTGATTCCAAATGGCTATTTGGAAGGCAGACTCTATGGGATCTTTTGGAAGAAATTTGGAAATTGTGGGGGAAAGTGCTCCATAATGCTTCAGGATCATATGCTCACTAGCTCTGATGTGACAAATAAAATTGTACAAAAGCTGGGTCAGAGAAGACTAACCCAGTAACATTTCTTCAACAAAGTCGGCAGTACTTCAGTTTGGGACTTGAAGAGGCCAACCTTGCACAAGTACTGATACCAAATACACAACACAAGACTTTTGACGCATAACCAGAAAGATATCTCTCAGTAACTTTCCACAACACCTCAGTCATGGCAAGAGCACTTACAGCATTGCAACAATCTACTGCCAAATACACAAGGCTTTTGATGAGCTTTGATTTGACTGGCCCGTAATGATGACTTGTTGTCATTGCACTCAGTGATGCAACAGTTCACCCAGAAGAATCTTTTATCTATCCCCAGTTGCACAGTTGTTAAATTTGTTGCTGCCCAACCTCAGACTTTCAGTGGCTGCCCCCACATTATGGAACAGACTGCTGAAGGAAGGTATTAACCCTTATGGCTCCTTGAAGGAGATGCAAGACCAAAGTGTTGAAAAGGGCAAATTAATTAAGAGGTCATCTTGTAGGAGAAAAGCAAGCAAGTCTATCTATCTATATATCATCTATCATCTATCTATCGTCACCAGTACAGAGCAGAATTTGTTTTTGATCATATTTGCTTCAGGTTTTCCTCTACCTTTACTCTGTCTACCCGTTTCTTTGCCCCTCAGGAACCAAGAAGCAGGAAAGTCCCTGTGGGGTGAGTGAGGGTGCCTGGGGGAGTTTGTATCAGCTGCCCTGGCTCTCTCCCTGTTCCACAGATCAGGGCTTCAAGATCCATGAGGAGGAAACTGCCTGAGGCCTGTCAAGATCTTCTACGCTGGCCATGATTCTATAGGCAGGGTGTGTGCTGGACTGTGCCATGGGAGGGAAAGGGAGTTTCACAGGGGAGACACCAAGAAAGCAGAATGTTAATTTATTACTTCCCAGCACGCCCATGCAATCGCATGGTAGACAATGGGGCGAGCCCGCCAAATTATTCGCTCTTGTATCTGACACAAATCTTGCTGCATTTGCATTTGCAGAACTAGCCCATGGAAGATGCGCAGGAGGCTGAGGACCACCAAGAACAACTAGCATAACACCCCTCCCACCCACCCCCGGCAAAGATTCCCTCTGCCCCATACAGCTCAGACTCAGCCCAAACATCCTATGTATACAAATACCATGATATGCCCATTTCCACGGGCTCCCCAAGGTGACCAGGACCCCCCACCTAGAATTCTGTCCCCCTCATCCGGGTCCCTTTGACAGCCCTAGGGATAGTACAGCGATGCTCAGCTGGCTCTGGTCAGTGTTCAAGGCTCTGCTGTATCCCCACTTTGCCAATGAATATTAACAAAGAAGAGCAGAAAACATGGAATTGGTAGGGCTGCCAGGTCCCCCTGGCCACCGGTGGGGAATGGGGGGTGGGAGTGTTGCCAGGTCCAGGTTGGAAAACACCTGGAGATTTGGGGGTGGAGCTTGGGGGACTTCAGTGGGATACAATGCCATAGGGTCCATCCTCCAAAGTATCCATTTTCTTCATGGGAAATGATCTCTGTAATCTGGAAATGAGCTGTTGTTCTGGGGGATCCCCAGGTCCCACCTGTCAACGGAAGGCACTGGGCATGTTTGGTATTGGGTCAAAAACATTGTGACCCTTGAAATCTATCACTGACTGAGACCAAAACACATCCCTGTGCACGCCCAGCGTCTTGTTTAAACTGAACTGCCACCTCACTTGTGCAAAGCAACTTTGTGTGCCCTGTGTTACCTCCTCCCCTTCTTTGAAGGAAGTCTTGTGATAGACCCCATTACAGGAATTTGACAAGAAGGGCCCCTCCTTTACCTCTCCAGACTGTTCCACCAATCCATCCCCACCACCGCAGTTGCTGAGCTCAGAAAGTCACGTCTAATTGGTGTATGGTATGATTTAGTATTCCTGAGACAATCTGCATGTGAGAGAAAGAGAGTTTTTTCTCTGCCGGAGTTTCCTCAGGGTTTGTCTTGTACCACAGTCTTGACAAGGATCCAGAGAAACACAACCTGAAAGCGAGAAAGGGGGTACTGTCCCTGCAGCGTCTGCAGCAGCAGAGCTCCAAAGGTATTACCTGGGATTTTTCTGTCCGTGGGGTCAGCCTCCTCTCCCGCACGCTCCAGCTGCCAGCTCTTTTGGTTCACCTGCTTTTTATGCTCTCCCAAAAACATGCAAAAGGCGTGTCGTGCTTCTTAGAATTGTCTCCAGAGTGATGGTGCAACATGCAAATAACTGGGCAAGTGCCGCTTACAGTAAATAGTAAAAGAAAAGTCCTACAAAACTTTGTAACTTCCTGAATAAGAGATGGAGAAAACCCAGTGGTTGGTTAGTAGATGGTAAATGTACAGGAAGAAATTGAAACGGAACAAGTGTAAGGTCATGACATTCCTGGTTTATTTTATCTGTGGCTTTCTCTTATCTCATGGACGAAGGATAGGAGGCAGTAGAAAAGGCAAATTGCAGAAAATATTTGAAAGAAAGGCTGCAAAATTCCAAGTGCAGCAGTTGTTATAACAAGGAGCAGAAAAAAGCCTGCAGGCAAGAGACAGAGTCCATCTGGCCAAAAAAGACATCAAGGGGGACATGCCCTACCTGACTGTCCTCCGTGCTGCAGGAAAGGGCTCTTTTTCCCCTTAGCTGCACTCCATTTGCATAATGCTCCAGACCAGGGGTTGGTCAGTGAATTCCATGCTGAGTGGGGAACACACTGGCTCTCTGCAGCTAAATAGAGGAATCTGTTTCTCAAACAAATCTAGAGAAGCTTGGACTACAACCTTTGATCTATCTGGGAAGGCCATTTTAAGATAGCCTCTGAGCCTGGCAAAGTGCAAATTAAGCATGTCTTGTGCAATGTTGTACATGTCGCCCAAGTTACCTTTGGGGCAAGGTGTCAGTTTACCACAGAACATACTAGGTTAAACAACAACAACAACAACAACATGACTCTAAGGTAAAGGTAAAGGTTCCCTTGCTTGAAAGCCAGTCGAGTTCGACTCTAGGGTTGCGGTGCTCATCTCCGTTTCAAAGCCGAAGAGCCAGCGCTGTCCGAAGACGTTTCCGTGGTCATGTGGCTGGCATGACTAAACACCAAGGTGCACGGAATGCTGTTACCTTCCCACCGAAGTGGTACCTATTTATCTACTTGCAATTTCTTGCTTTCGAACTGCTAGGCTGGCAGGAGCTGGAACTAGAGACAGGAGCTCACTCCATCATGCGGCACCCGGGTCTCGAACTGCTGAACTACTGACCTTCCACAGCCTGCAGTTCAGCGTCTTAACCACTTGAGCCACTGCAGCTCCTCGTGACTCTAGAAACAAACAAAACCTTAGGGGCTAGTATTCAGAGTTCTGAGGTGGTCTTTCAGGTTGTGGGTTCAATAAACAAATAAAATGCCCATCACTGAAATGATCACAGAGTAGAACACAGGGGTCATTTCCTGCAGGAGCGCACAGGAGCGGAGCTCCGGCAGTAAAGAGCCCAGGGGGTGGGCACATGCAACAAGCCCCGCCCCCTGCTCCCAGCAGCCCCGGGCCACAAGGAGCAAGAAGCAGCCAGGTAAGTTGCAGTGGGTGTTGCCTTCTGACACACTTCCAGTGATGTCAGGGGGTGTGGCATATGCAAAGACGTTATCCTAATGAGTTATGCTAATGAGCTCCTGCACCTTTTTTTCTACTAAATGACCCCTGGTGGAACATACCATAAAAAGTGAAGAAGCTGTAAGCAACTTGAGCCCAATCTGGCCCAGAAAAGATTATCCTGCAGCACAGCCATTAAAAAAACACACCACTTGCTGGGATCTGCTCATGATCTCCTATCTAATTCAAAAAGGAATCAGGAAGCACAGGCCAGACCAGTTTCAGCCCTTTCTTGAGGGGAGAAGTTTAGCATTCCTGCAAGCGTGGCACAGAAGCAGGCAAAGCAGCAACATGCAGCTCCCGACTTGCCACATCCGTTCCCCTGAAGATTGCAGAGCAACTTCCAAAGGGGGAATTGGTGGTGAGACGCCTAAGCGGCAACTGCAGGAAGACGTGGTGCTTCCCTTTTTGGTTAATGATGCCAGAAGTGCAACATGCAAATGGTGAATGTGTCAGTTTGGTGTAGTGGTTAAGTGTGCGGACTCTAATCTGGGAGAACCGGGTTTGATTCCCCACTCCTCCACTTGCACCTGCTGATGTGACCTTGGGTCAGTCACAAGCTCTGGCACAGCTGTCCTTGAAAAAGAGCAGTTTGTGTCAGAGTTCTCTCAGTCCCACCCACCCCACAGGGTGTCTGTTGTGGGGAGGGGAAGGGAAAGGAGTTTGTAAGCCGCTCTGAGACTCCAAGTGAAGGGCGGGGTATAAATCCAATCTCCTCCTCCTCCTCCTCCTCCTCCTCCTCCTCCTCTAATTGCATGTGAACTCCTCCTCCTCCTCCTCCTCCTTCTCCTTCTCCTTCTTCTTCTTCTTCTTCTTCTTCTTCTTCTTTCCTGGCTGCAGATGCCACCCTGGTTTTTGTGAATGGGGATTTCCGAAAGATGTGGCCATGAGTCATAGATCTGGAAATGATGGGAGTTCCTGCTTCACAGTTTGCACAGGAGGAATGCCAAAGGAGTGAGTGGGGCTGATTGAGACTGCCTGGAGCATGCCTGTGGAAATCTGGCAGCTGAGGATCAGAAATTGTGCTGTGCCTGCTGGGCATGGAGGATTAAAAGGAAAGATCTCTTGGCTTGCAGATGAGGTGCATACATCTATGTGGTAGGGATGTGAAGTGTAGTGGGTTAGACGCATGACTGAAACCCCGAAACTGATGTAGTGATCAGCATGGTTTACTGGAACACAACATAAGGTAACAAACAACGGCCGGCTGGCCAACTATATACAAACCAGGGGACACACCCCTGGGTCCCATTGGTGGGTTTAAATCTCCCGCCAAGGTCCCATTGGTCCCCCAGTGGAGGGATCAGGAGCCTAGTCCCTATTGTTACTCCGGATTCAAGCTCCGGAGTGTGCACTGGCCTCTGATGGCGGTCAGCGGACACAACAGGATGCTCCATCAGATATATGCTAATTCATATCCAAAGCGAATAAAACCCACTTGTCAATATTGGGCAACGCTTTGAACAGAATTCTTTCATTATATGAAAGAGCTACAGACTCGACAAGGCTGCTGCCAGGTCTATAGTCTGGGGGTGTTTTTGGACCCACATGTACTGCTGGACAAGCAGGTGGCAGGTGGCAGGTGTGTCCTTTCCTGCTCAGAAAAGGCCTGGCCACTGTGACGCATCAATATTAGAGGGCTGCAATGAACTGTGTGTGGAGCCGCCCTTGAAAAGTGTTTGGAAACTTCAACTGGTGCAGAATGCTACACCCGGGATGATGCCTGGAGTGGGTTGTAGGGACCATATCACTCCAGTCTTGGACCATTTACCCTGGCTCCCAGTTAGGGTTGCCAGGTCCTTCCTGGCCACTGGTGGGGGGGGGGCAGGAAGGAGGTAGGGTTGCCAGTTCCAGTCTGGGAAACTCCTGGAGGTAAGTCCAGGGAGGACAGGGACCTCAGTGGGGTACGTCACAGAGTCCACCCCCCGAAGCATCCATTTTCTGCAGGGGAACTGATCTGTGTAGTTTGGAGATGAGCTGCAATTCCAGGGGATCCCCAGGTCCCACCTGGAGGCTGGCATCCCTACTCCCAGTTTGCTTGCAGGCCTAATTCAAGCCCTTATGACTTGGTACCAGGAAATGTGAAGGACTGCCTACTCCCTAACGAACTTGCCCAGTTGCTGAGGTCATCTTCCAGCACCCTGCTTTGGGTGCCCTCGCCTTGTGAGACTGGGCAGGTGGCAAGCCGAGAGAAGGCCTTCTCAGTTGTGGCACCGGAACTCTGCAACTCTCTCCCCGAAGACATTTCTGCATCCGCTTCTGTCGCTGTCTTCCACCAGCAGATGAAGACTTTTTTGTTTCATCTGGTGATCCTTCCCTCCTGCACCATATTCCGTTCTTTCTGTGTACATGTATTTTATGGTATTGTGTGTGTATTTTAACTTGGATTTAATTATTTTAATGATATCATAGAATCACAGAACCACAGAGTTGGAAGAGGCCATAGAGGCCATCTGGTTCAACCCCCTGCTCAGTGCAGGATCAGCCTAGAACATCCCTGACAAGTGTTAGTCCTGCCACTGCTTAAAGACTGCCAGTGAGGGGAGCTCACCATCTCCCTGGGCAGCCCATTCCACTGTTGCACAACTCTGTGAAAAGATTTTTCCTAATATCCAGCCAGTACCTTCCTGCCCTTAATTTAAACCCATTATTGCCAGTCCTATCCTCTGCTGCCAACAGGAAGAGCTCCCTGCTCTCCTCTAAGTGACAGCCTTTCAGATCCTTAAAGAGAGCAATCATGTCCCCCCTCAACCTCCTCTTCTCCAGACTAAACATTCCCAAGTCCCTCAGGCTTTCTTTATAGGGCTTGGTCTCCTCTGCACCCACTCCATTCTGTGTACATCCTTTTTGAAGAGAGGCCTCCAGAACTGCACACAATACTCCAGGTGCAGCCTGACCAATGTAGTGTACAGTGGGACTACTACATCTTGTGATTTGGATGTTATGCCTCTGTTGATACAGCCCAAGATTGCATTGGCCCTTTTTGTCACTGCATCACATTGGCTGCTCATATTTTACTTATGGTCCACTCGTACCCCAAGATCTTGTTCACACACATTGCTACCCAGAAGTGTATCCCCCATCCAGTATGCATGGTCATCAGTTTTTACCCCGATGTAGAACTCAGCACTTATCCTTGTTAAATTGCATCTTGTTCACATCCACCCACTTTTCCAGTGTGTTCAGATCTCATTGAATTCTATATCTTCTGGTATGTTCGCTGCTCCTCCCAATTTGGTGTCATCTGCAGATTTAATGAGTAGCCCCTCCACACCCTCATCCAGATAATTTATAAAAATATTGAAATGTACTGGGCCCAGAACCAAGCCCTGTGACACCCCACTGGACACCTCCCTTTTTAAAGATGTGTTTTTATTATGCATGTTTTTAATTTAAGGAGGAGTTAGCCTTCTTGGTGGCTCTGATGAGGGCAGAATGGAGGGGTACTCATTTTGTAAATAAAATCAAATAATTTTCCTATCATGCCTGACTGGCATTCCTTTTCACAGGTTCACTGATTTGGGATGGGATTGTTTATAAGCA